CAGTTCACGATACAATCCGTGAAACTAGAGAAAGGTAAATATCTGTATACAGTGATCATGCAACGAAAAACTTATATTCGCTACAGCACCTTTAGCTACCATTTTAACACAAATATGTGAATAGATAACTAGATTTAATGAGACTTTAACATGTCGTCAAAATTAATACTAAATAATACTTCTCCTATACTAGAATTGTATTAAAACATACAACATTTTGTTATTAATAAGTAACAATACAAATTATGCGAATAGAACAAAACTTTAATCACACCCCTGATGGAAAAATTTTGCTGAAAACGTAATGAAATTTGCGGTTGAAAATCTCTTGCAATTGACCCAATTTCATTATTATTTCAGCAATTTTTCATTAAAAAATTTATTTTCAGTGAAATTCTGCAAATTTCATAATATACAACATTTCTAAAAATTTTTCACTAATTTTTAGTAATATTAATTAACTTTCATCTAATTTCACAGTATTTCATTGAATTTCATAACGAAACTTATGATTTATTTTGAAATGGTTTCAACAAGTTTTCTCAATAACTTTCATTTCACTTTTCATCAATTTCATTACATTTTTAGCAAAATTTTTCCATCAGGGACAGCCTTTAAGTGAAAAAGTATGAGCATGGGAGTTTGTCGCTAGGAGCCATAGAGGTATAAGAATAGAGTGCGCGAATTATATGCTATCGCGTATTTTTTATTTAAAACCATACTCTAAAAAGTAGAATGTAGGACGGCGGTATAGGACTTTCTTGAATAAAAAAATCGCACGCTGTATTATTATTATACCATATCTAACTGATTATTTATCTTACAAAAGACTTAATATGAAATCTTAATGAAAAACTTAACTTATTTTAATATTCTCTTTTGTTCTTTTGAAGAAAACGTAAGGATTAAGAAATGTGAGTTTCGATAATTTCACCATTTAACCATTTTCAAAATTATTTTGACGAAGAACTTAAAAACAGTCCACATTTATTTTTTACAATTCTTAGATTTTCTTTTAAATCTTTTAACTAAGTTTTACCTTTATCTTAAATAAAAGTTTAACGTGTCCAAATTTACTTTTAAAATTTCTCCAACGTAAAATTTAAGATTTTCTAAAGTATGTTTTCCCAAGAGTTGTCCTAATTTGTCGAAGTAAATCATATAATTCGGGATGCCCTTGTGTTAGATAAACCATTACTTAATACTGGTTGCAAAACTTTGGACTTGTTTATTAAATCGTGGAATTTTCGCAGCACAGTATCCTGGCACAGGTGGAGGTGGCCAATTAAATTACTAAGTGAATTCATATATCATCTTTTTCCTACCTTCTCCTGCGCGCCGTTAGTTACATACCGGACATACGAGTATAACACAGATTTTCGTTAGGTGGAATCATTATCGTCAGTAAATTCACGTGTTATAAAAATCGCTGAACGATTTAAGGAATTATTTATTTTTCGCAATAAGAATTTTAATTCAGTACGGGGAAGGAGGGTTATGCTAAGTATATGGGTTATGCTAAGTAATGGGAATGCTAAGTATAGCATTTTTAAATAATTTATCAAATCGTTCAGCGATTTTTATAACACGTGAATTCACTGACAATAATGATTCCACCTAACGAAAATCTGTGTTGTATGTCCGGTATGTAACGGCGCGCAGGAAACAGTAGGAAAAAGACGGTATATGGATTCACTTAGTAATTTAAATGGCCACCTCCACCTGTGCCAGGTCCTAAAATGGCGTTTAAGTTCCAAATTGATTTATAAATTAAAAAGAAATTATTTTTATTTGTGCAAGTGTAAATAATGATATTTATTTAAATGACAACATAAATATTACATTGATAATCCCTATTAATAATTGTATACATATACTGATAACATCAATCTTAAAAATAACCGAGTAAAGTGTAGTAGTTAGTACTAACTACTATAACTAGAGTAAAATTCTATAACTTTTCTGTTCATATATTATACCTTTTGTAAATACAGTTTTGGACCGAGCATCTTAATATCAACGGAGAACGACTACGAGTCATCAATAAAACGACGAAAAAAGCAACAAATAGATGAAACAAGCACAAGTGACGAGTAATTATCTGCTTATATCACTTGAAAAAAAAGGTAAATGTTATAAATCGTACCGTGTTTCTGATAATAAATGTAACATTTCTCCTGATCAGGTGAAGCGGTGTAAACTAAGTACAAAAGTTCTGTATTGGTTTTGCGATTCTTGCAATAATTAATGAAAAATGTGTTCATAGAAATATAATTATTTTAGTAAGAGTCTGCGAATATTCGTATTGCAAGTATAAACACGCGATATATTGAGGACCGTTTGTTCAGAGAAGATTTACAAACTTGAAGAACGTTGTTTCTCCTGAGATAATTTGTTATTTGCACAATACATGGATGCATGTTCATTCTTAGATTTTTACGAAGGTTTCTAGGTACTCTCTACAGCCATATATTCAAGTATACATACATACATACATACACGTATTCATATTTTTGGCATCAATGTATAATCTGTATATATTTTTCTGCATTTGACATTATCGATTCAAAATGACAACAGCGACTATCCGAGCTTCAATTCCTTTCTGCTTAATTACTGCTAAAATCAATCAAGATAGAAGAAGCAACAGAGAAAGAGAGACAGAACTTTCTTATCCAGTTTAACAGATTCCACACTCCTCGTGAATGATGTTATAACTATTATCAAATGCCTTGCATAAATATTTTCTTTTCTACCTTTATATCATGTTATACATACATCATATTAAGATGTAACAGTTATTATAAATTATAATTATGTTAGGACAATTTTTTTTACTTTTTGTAGTTCTACGAGTACAAATGTAATTTATGTGTCTTTATATGTCTAGTGTAATAATATTAAAATAACATTACAGATTTTGCAGAAACAATAACGCAAATTTACTGCACTCAGCTAAAAAATATTAAAATAGATATTCGACTACATTCATAACTTTATCTGTGTCCGTAATAAATGTGGATAATACACAATTTCTTATAATAAAAGTACATAGAACATAAATAAACTGTGTATATAGAGATTATATCTCATAAATGTTTAAACCTTAAGAGACTGATAGCTAATGACTGATAATATGTCCGCTACAAAAATTTAAACTTAATTACGCTGCCGTTGTTACTTACTCTGAGATTCATTTTGTAAATTTTTATCATTTGTTGCAGGAACATGGATTAGGATGTAGCTAAGACTCTGAACAATGACATCGCCATGGATTCTAATGGAAATCTGAAAATAATAGATGACTAGATTCTGGAATAAAAACTGACGAAGAGAAAACAATTCTCATGAGTGACCATCGTAATGAGATAACTTACGAATTAAATCCTTATTATTATAACAATATTAGAAGATTATTAGATCAATATTCATATAATATTAAATATTGGCCAATTACATATTTTTTCCGCCAAATATTCAATATATAATAGCTTGGTTTACTGGAATTTACAATGATGTAGAGAAAGATTAATACGACGTCAATCAAGAACAAAATTTGTCCTTGTCAGAAACTTATTAATATTTGGATGGAAATTTTTGGGTAAAAATATAACTAATTTTTAATATAATTAACTATAGATATATTCATTTAACTATAGATATATTTTGACTTGTCTTTTGTAATATTATAGTTCATAAACGATATTTGAAGAATAATGTGACATTTGCATGCAATAACGTCTAATGTAAAGCACAATTGTAGAGTTAAATAAATTCATATGCAACTAAGAAAAATATTGATTTACAGCTGAAATTTGTTATATGTTGTATATCTTGCAATTGTTTGTTATCTGCCACATATCTGGGAAAAACAAAAATGGTTGGGCATTCCCAAATAAATTCGTACAGAGTCATTTCCTATGGGTGCTTCCTTAAAAATGCATCGTGTCAGTATTACATATTTAAAAACTTTTGCCACTTATATGTACGTGGATAAATGTAATGCGATAGAATTTTTATCAGATTTTACTCTGAGTATTTACTAGTGACGAAATGTTATACATTTTCGATAGGTGATAGTTAGGCCAAAATATTTCTTGTTAGAGAAATTTTAAAAACTAATACCTGAAGTATACCACCGTTTTAATAAACATTCAAAAAATAATTGTACTAATATACATATAATACAATACAAATATAATACAAATGGTTTAAAATTGAACCTATTTATCTTGTAAAAGAGATATCGAAACAAATTATTAACTGAAACGACACGTGATAAATTATTTTATTGGCAAAAGAGTATTTATAACAACGTGATTTCCAGTAAATAAAAAGGAAAATATCACCCTCTCATGACTAGCCTTCCAAACGTATCCGGTATTATTATGAAATCTTTATACACATGCAGGTTGCAGATTTTGGATAATTCGTTAGCCATGCTTCTGAGGACTACTAACATGTAAACTGACGAAGATTTATGTAAATTGTGGGGGTCCTAATTCGTACATAGTATAGCCTGTCTTGACAATTCATGATTATAATATCTGAAATATTTGTTAGTTGCTACAACAATTCAGACCTGAAAATAACGTAATCTGAACAGACAGCATCGGTATGGATTCCGACATGATTCTAAAAGCGATATACATATAAAGAAGTAGTATTGCAGTTTTTGGTTTGTAGACTATCGAGAAGAAAAACGAATTTTAATAAGCGACAATAAAAAGATCTTAAGAATTAAACCTTTTTTTTCAAAAATGTAATCCAAGTTATGTTAGATAAGATGTGTGTTCTTTAATTAATTTATGAAAAAACTATCTATTTGCCGTAGTACTTAAATGTACCCTTATATTTGTCTTATACAATAGCAGTAATATATTAATTTTATATAAAAGTGGTTTTGCTAGTATACTGTAACAAGGATATGCTAAATTCGATGCTACGAAATATCTTCAAAAATTGATACACGTATAATAAGTCAACAACAAATATACATATACAGCATCTATAACTTTTCATGTTTGAACAGAATTGACAGCAGTAGTTCATGTAACACATGTAATACATTTTTCATACATGTAGTGTTTTTTATGGGGATAAGGAATCGCGGATAACGTGAGCGTGAACTCAAGCATGTGGATATACTTTATTATACGCAAAGCAGATTACAGCTCGCGACATCAAGAGCTGTCTTCACTTCCCGGTCGCTCTCGCAGGACTGACCGACTACGTAGCCTCGTCGACGACGATCTCTCCACAAACGACTCTCGGCGATCCTGTCGCTAAAGGACTTTGTCGGTCGCAAACACAGCCCCGACTGTCGCGCGCTCCTTACGATACTACACATATGTTTACCTAAATTGCATATTAAAAGCTTTTATTTTAATCATTGTCACTCTAATAGTCTCCATAACTATAGTTTTGCCTTAAATATCTTTCTTACAGTTTTATCCGTTTTTATACAATACTATTAATTTACATTAATAATTTGAAAGTATTGTACGTTAATTGTTAATCCAGAGAAAAGTATATACTTTCGGCGTTTCTTTTTTTATATTTTAAACTTTTCTATCAGTTTCTTGAACAGTTTACATTTTGTTCAGTTTGACAATAAAACAGTACTACCGAGGAATACTTGATCTATCACCGTTTAACTGTTCTTCTTACAGTCCATTACAACAAATTTTCGCATTATTTGACGAAGAAGAAAGTATTCTTATGCACTTTGATTTAAAAATAACTTACTATTTTCCGCAAGCCGATTTCAAAAGCGCATTAATTCTTTATGTATAGTGCTTTTAACACCATATAGTGCTTAATACTTTACACATAAATTTTGAGTCCGGATTCGATGCTAAACAAACCTGAAAAGTAAATTTATATTAATAAGAATGATGATTTTACATAATTTAATTTAAATAACATCCAAGAGATTTCATGTTGACAAGATAGTAGTTGCAACATTTACCTTCTGCCTATCTAATTATTTTCTTAAATAATTCCATGCATATCTCGCTCATTCAAAAAAAAACTAAATGTAATAATACATAAATTTTTTTATTATTGTATATTAGTGTCTAATGTATTAAATATTTAACGTCTTTAGCATATGCACCAGTTATTTAAGTACTCCTTTTACTCGCCCTGGTCATATTGCATTGTATTTCGGTAATATGAATTTCTTAACGAGCAGAATAGATTTTATGTTCTTCACAAGTATTTTACTTAAGAGGATGTAATAACTAAAATATCTTGTGCTTATAATATATAGAACTAAAAAATGTATTAACTGGTCGCAAAACAGAGATTTGTATCGTTGAAACATTTAGTTTATATGGTCGTGAATAATGCTAAACACGTGGAGCTCTTTTGTTTACGTGAGACAGGATATTGTGCTTCCCAATTACATTTGAAGAACATGTATGTAATATCAGTTGTACTGCGTTCTTCAAGTAAAATGGATTTCACGTGGAAGCACACAACCGTTGCACAAAGAGAAAAAGATATTGAATTACATCAGAAACGTGTACCCGTTTCAGAAATTGCTCAGGATATTAAGAATCATCACGACACAGTTCATGATACAAGTATGCGCTTTACCAACAGGATCACAGAGCAAAGAACGATCAAGGCCGACAAAAAGGAAAAGGTCCCAGTGAGAAATGATTCGTCGATCGACGTCGAAGCGACGTTGAATCGACATCGACACCGTCGAATTGACGTCGATTCGACACCATTTCGACGTCGATCGACGAATCATTTCTCACTGGGGTGAAAAGTATTATATTGGATCATATAATGAAGAACCCAAAAGTGAGATTATTAGAGATTCAGGCCGCACTCAAACATCAACACAATATAACAGCTAATTTAGGAACGGTTTCAAAATGGCTAAACGAAGCTAGGAAGAGGTAAGTTCGGAATTTGCTCAGGTTATTAACAAATATCCTGAAACAGTTCATGATACAAGTTCGCGCTTTAGCGAAGGATATACATTGCGGAGAATAATAAAGCCCGACGAAAAGAAAAAGGCGAAGAATATTATATTGGCTCATCTATTGAAGAACCCAAAAGTAAGATTAGCAGAGATTCAGGCCGCACTCAAATATCACCACAACATAACAGCTTGTTTAAGAACGGTATCAACATGGCTAAACGAAGCTAGGAAGAGGTAAGTTCAGAATTTGCTCAGGTTATTAACAAACGTCCCGAAATAGTGCTTGATACAAGTACGCGCTTTAGCCAAGGATATACATTTCGGAGAATGATAAAGACCGACGAAAAGGAAAGGGCGAAGAGTATTATATCGGATTACATAACAAAGGACCCAAAAGTAAGAATACGAGATATTCACGCCGCACTCAAACATCACCACAAGATAACAGTTTGTGTAAAGTCGGTAAGAAAATGGGCCACGGAAATTAGGAAACGGTAGGTTCGAAAGTTAATTGAATCCTCAGTTATTTATTAAATTCTTTCTAATTATTATTACGGAAAGACAAAACAGTAGAGAACTTTTCTTTATTCATTTTGATTTATTCATGAGCGCTGGTACTTCTTTTATCCAGGTAGCCAGGAATTATACAGTATATCACAAAATGCTCGTTTTAATTAAAAATTATACGGTTTCCATGATATTATATTTTATATTTAATAGGAAATTTTATAAAGAAAAATTATTTTTCTTTATGTAAATGTATAAAACATAAGTAGGTTTTTACCATAAATATTAAAGCAGTAATAAAACCTATACCGATATGAAAACTGAGAGATTAGAAATATTAATTAACTAATGTACGTGCTTGAAATTGAAACAAATAAGTATAGTATTTCCTATCCGCTAACACATATATCATATTTAAATACAGCCCTTAACCCAATACCTCAACAGGAGTGCATTGTTCCTACGAAACTGAAACATTGGCACAAAATACTCAGTGTCAGACACAGACATTCGAACAAAAAACTGATGAAATTTCTGAAGATGTTGAGGATTGTAATTCATGGTAAATACACTTATGTTTTGCTTAAATTAGACTGAAGAAATTCCATATACAAAACATTGACTCAAACACCATAATTTGTTAAAGCAAATATAATTCGGGGGATGTTGGCATAAGTGTTTATCTGGCAATTAGTCGATCTCCTTATGATGTAATAGTATTTATGTTTATACCATGTCAAATGTATACTTTTGTATGTTAATTTTCATTTCCGATGGGAACACACATATACATACGTGCAATTATTAGTTTTCTATAATTTTTATTTCGTACTTAAATAAACATTTTTTTATATCATGATAAAAATGACGACAAATATTATGTAATTTTTTTCGCTTAGTACATTCTATTTCTGTCAGTAGTACAGTTCCGGAAGATTAATTGTATAGATATAAACTATAATTATAAATGTTAAATTAAAACATGGATATTATTTACTGGTTGATAGATTCATGAAAATGACAAATTTGACCTAATAACCGAGTAATACGCTTGTTTTATTGTTTAAAATATTAATTCGTTTCTGTCATTTTCAACAATCTTAAATCGTGCTTTATACATACATATATGCGCAGGTCCGAAGATAGTACGTTAGACAATCTTTACAACTTATATCATATTTCGGACCAAGATACAGTCGAATTGCATGACATTGTCGATTATGCGAGCTCCCATCATTTATACGGAACTCAAGACGAACTTACCGCATTTTCAACAGCAACGGAAAGCTCCCATATCACTGAGCCATTACCACAAGATATTCAAATGGGGGCATGGTTTGCCGAATTAAATAATGAAGGGTAATTATACCAGAGAGAAGCCTGAGAGATGTCACGGCCCCGTTTTTCGTGATTGGCGAATGCGATACGCCCTCTGTGGACATTGAAAACGTGGACATTGAACTACGTAGCCAATATCCACATTTTGCCAAGTGGGTAACGCAGATTTGCGAAATTTTGGTTGCGTTTCGTGCTATAGTCAGGTCCTGTGCGATGCTTGTACTTAAGA